TGTGGGTGTGGGTCAAGGTGTCTTGGATTTTATGGCTGTTTGTTTAGCCAAGTTAAGGTGTAAAGGAGTGGTATTGGTAGGGTTGTGGCATGAGGTTTTTGGCCAGGGATGAAGGAAAAATAAATGTAGTTTTGGGTTTATTATTTTGGATATTTTGGGGTTTGGATTGGATGAGAATGGCTGGGCCTTTTAAGTTGGAGTTGGCTTCAGGGAAATTATGGCTATGTGGCGGGTTTTAGGATTGATAAGTTCGGTCCAAAAGGAATCATAACACTTAGCCATTATTCCGTTAAATTGTTTAACGACTTTAGAGTCGTTGGTAGTCGCCCGGGGTATATCAGAGAATAAATACACCATACGCGCAACACATGATGGGTGCGATCATACCAGCACTAATGCACCGGATCCCATCAGAACTCCGAAGTCAAGCGTGCTTGGGCGAGAGTAGTACTAGGATGGGTGACCCCCTGGGAAGACCTCGTGTTGCACCCCTTTTTGTTCTTTTCATCATTTTCTTTTTGCAAGTTATGCGCTTGATTCTTTTAAAAAACTGCCAGGCGAGCACAGAGCGTCTTGTGAACTTCCACAGTGCGTCGGGAAGCCACACAAAATAAGGGTGGCCGAAACCCAAAACGAACAGAAGTCAAAATGGGCCTAGGAATGAGAAATAAATGGGCCGAACATAAAATGGGCCATACGATCAGAAACGAGCAAAATTGAGGTCAAAGTAGAGCTCGATGGGTCCCTGACGCATCGGGCCCCCGTGCGTCTCGTTGAGACCTTTCCGGAAAGTGCTCGCACGCTGAAAACCGACACTCCTTGCAAAAGTTATGCCCAAAACAGCGTGATCACCACGCTAAGTGGTTGACGATGGGTGCAAACAAGCCCAAGACCGATAGGGTGAGTCTTCGACCCCTTATTTTACCACTTCGCTCATTAAAATTTAGAATGATGGGATCGATCATACAAGCTCCAATGCACCGGATCCCATCAGTACTCTGAAGTCAAGTTTGTTGTTTAGATTATGAGCAATACCGATGGATTGAGAATAAATACACCATACGCGCAACACATGATGGGTGTGATCATAGCATCACTAATGCATCGGATCCCATCAGAACTCCGAAGTTAAGCGTGCTTGGGCGAGACTAGTACTGGGATGGGTGACCCCCTAGGAAGTCCTCGTGTTGCACCACTTTTTGTTCTTTTCTTCATTTTGTTTTTGCAAGTTATGCGCTTGATTCTTTTCAAAACAGCCAAGGGAGCACAGAGCGTCCCGTGAACTTCCACAGTGCGTCGGGAAGCCACACAAAATAAGGGTGGCCGAAACCCAAAACGAACAGAAGTCAAAACGGGCCTAGGAATGAGAAATAAATGGGCCGAACATAAAATGGGCCATACGATCAGAAACGAGCAAAATTGAGGTCAAAGTAGAGCTCGATGGGTCCCTGACGCATCGGGCCCCCGTTCGTCTCGTTGAGACCTTTCCGGAAAGTGCTCGCACGCTGAAAACGGACACTCCTTGCAAAAGTTATGCCCAAAATAGCGTGATCACCACGCTAAGTGGTTGACGATGGGTGCAAACAAGCCCAAGACCGATAGGGTGAGTCTTCGACCCCTTATTTTACCACTTCGCTCATTAAAATTTAGCATGATGGGATCGACCATACAAGCACCAATGCACCGGATCCCATCAGTACTCTGATGTCAAGTTTGTTGTTTAGATTATGAGCAATACCGATGGATTGAGAATAAATACACCATATGCGCAACACATGATGGGTGCGATCATACCAGCACTAATGCACCAGATCCCATCAGAACTCTGAAGTTAAGCGTGCTTCGGCGAGAGTAGTACTAGGATGGGTGACCCCCTAGGAAGTCCTCGTGTTGCACCACTTGTTGTTCTTTTCATCATTTTCTTTTTGCAAGTTATGCGCTTGAATCTTTTAAAAACTGCCAGGCGAGCATAGAGTGTCTCGTGAACTTCCACAGTGCGTCGGGATGCCACAAAAAATAAGGGTGGCCGAAACCCAAAACGAACAGAAGTCAAAACGGGCCTAGGAATGAGAAATAAATGGGCCGAACATAAAATGGGCCATACGATCAGAAACGAGCAAAATTGAGGTCAAAGTAGAGCTCGATGGGTCCCCGACGCATCGAGTCCCCGTGCGTCTCGTTGAGACCTTTCCGGAAAGTGCTCGCACGCTGAAAACGGACACTCCTTGCAAAAGTTATGCCCAAAACAGCGTGATCACCACGCTAAGTGGTTCACGATGGGTGCAAACAAGCCCAAGACCGATAGAGTGAGTCTTCGACCCCTTATTTTACCACTTCGCTCATTAAAATTTTGCATGATGGGATCGATCATACAAGCACCAATGCACCGGATCCCATCAGTACTCTGAAGTCAAGTTTGTTGTTTAGATTATGAGCAATACCGATGGATTGAGAATAAATACACCATACGCGCAACACATGATGGGTGTGATCATACCATCACTAATGCATCGGATGTAACACCCTAATCCGTCCAGGTCTACAGCCCCATTCGGACTAAAGTATTTAACTTGGTAATCGTAAAATTTAAAACTTTTCAAACCCACTTTATTAATCTCAATAATATTTTTCATAACATATGCAGTACGAAGTATTTAACAATATTGCGGAAGCGAATTTAATATTAACATATCATAAATCATTTCAAAACTTGTCACATCCATCCTGAGAATCTCGCCCCATCTGCCGCCAGAATCACATTAATCTTTCTGTTTACCTGCGTGTAGCAAATAAAACATACGACACGCTCAGCGATGAAGCTGAGTAAGCATATCTAAAGCGTCGAACATCCAAATAAATTGAATCTCAATTCATAATCAACCATTTGATATCATGCACACAATATATGATTCAAACATTCATGATATTCTCAATATTTTATTCCAAGTCATTTGATATTCAATATCTCAACCATGCTCTTAAATTATTCTTAATCTAAGGCCAAATCATTTTATAACAAGCTCTTAGCTATTCCTAGTCTAAGGCAACATTTCTAACCAGGCCCTTAAACTATAAATAGTTTAATGCAGAACACAAGAATCGATAATCCACCCTATGGGTCATGTGGATTACGTACCAACCGAACAATGATTTGTCGGGTGGGTGATATCCGGTCTGGATCCCGTACGTACGTTTTAACCCCGAAATATGAATTGGTCAAGGAGGTATATCTTAGAGTTCTTCTAGATATCCTTAATA